AACCTAGAAAAACACACTCCTCAAAATGGAAATCAAGTTTATGTTTATGATATGGTCTGGTGAAAGGAAAGCAAGCACATCCAAATACTTTGAGAAAAGAGTAATCTGGATTAGAACTATACAGTTTGAAATATGGACTTGATCTAGAAATGGATTTTGAAGGAAGTCTGTTGATGAGATAAACAGAAGTAGCAAAGGCTGCATCTCAAAATTTAAGAGGTAAAGAAGAGTGAGATAAAAGGGATAGACCTTTTTCAACAATGGTGCGATGTTTCCTTTCCACTACACCATTTTGATGGTGTGTATGTGGTCAAATAACTTTGTGAACAATTCCTTTATCTGTGAGTAATTTAGTGAAGGATCTAAACTCACCACCCCAATCAGATTGGAGAGATATGATTGAGACAGAAAATTGATTAAGAACATATTGAGAGAAGTTGGTAAATGCTGTAAGAGCATCTGATTTTCTCTTAAGGAAATAGATCCATGTATATTTGGTACATGCATCTATGAAGGCTATATAATAGGAATACCCATCAAAGGAACAAATAGGAGCTGGACCCCAAAGATCAGTGAAGATTAACTCGAAAGGTTTATGATATTCAGTGGTGGAAGTGTGAGAAGGTAACCTGTGAGCTTTACCCATACAACAAGCAGAACAGAAATCAAGTGCATTTTTATTGATATAAGATACTTTACAATGTTGAAGTACAAGTTTGAGGGCCTCAAAATGAGGTGGCCAAGCCTTAAGTGCCAAAGATTACAAGAGTGAGAAGGACTACAAGATTTATCATTATTACAAGTAGACACTAAGACACTAGACTTTTTATTGTAAGTAGATGACAAGGTAGATAAACTGGAACTTGTAGAAGGTTGATGCTGACCAAGAGCAGGAAAGGACTTGAACCTATAAAGACCATCCTCTCCCAAAGTGCCATGTAAGAGAACTTTATTGTAAACCCGTGATTTCACAAAACAATCATAAGGATAGAATTCAAAATAGACATTGTTGTCTTTAGCAAATTGACTAACACTGATAAGATTTTTAGTAATGGAAGGAACATGAAGGATATTTTTGAGGGAAAGAGAAATAGAGGACTGATAAGGGGATGGAAAGGAAGTAAAACCAACATACTTTATGTCCAAACCTTGACCATTCCCCATAAAGAGTTTGTCAGTGGTGGTGGCAGGCTCACTGTGCTGAAGGTTAAGAGGATCTGCAGTGACATGGTGAGTGGCTCCAGAGTCAGGGAACCATGTTTGAGACTGTGGAGGAGGTCCTAAAATGGATGTTTTTGCACTGGCCCAAGCAGCAGTAGGTTGATGTTGTCCAGGTGTGGATGAAGAATTATAAGAGTGCTGAGATGGCTGATTCCAGTTGAACTATGATGGAGCAGTGGAGAAGGGAGAATTGGAAGGAGATCTTTGTGAGAAAGGATGATTAAACTGTGAGGGAGCTGAATATGGATGAGTTGAATAAGGTGGTCTTGGTGAAGAATTTGTTGCAGCATAAAAAGGATTATATCGATGATAGCAAATGAGTGCATGATGACCTGATTTTCCACAAACTTGACATATAATAGAGTTTCTTCCTCTAGATCTACCACCTCTTCCTCTTGAGAAACCTCCACGACCTCTGCCTCTGTAAGAATTATCATTATTGCTAGTGTTGTTGAACTGAGCAACTTGAGCCGAAGAATTGTCAGTTATGCTTTCATCAGTTGAACGAGTGTTTGGAGCTGAAATATCCAAACGAGCAACATTTGCAGATAGAAGATTCGACTGGGAAGATTCATGAAGCTTTTGTAGTTGCATCTCTTTGGCAGACAAAAGAGACTCAACTTCAGACAAGGTTGGAGGATCGAGAATACTTCGAGAAGATATGGATGAGGCCAGAGACTCGTATTCTTCAGGTAAACCTTCGAGAATCACATTAATTTGTCAGCAATTGTCTGAATGCGAAGAAGATATTCAGCAACAGAACGCTCACCTTTCGCAGTGTTGTACAGTTCGGATTTCAGTTGTCTAGCTTTTGCGAGGATACTTGACTGGAAGGAAGTGTTGATCGCACTCCATAACTAGTATGAATGTTTGCAATGAATGACACGAGCATGCAGTGCTTCCGATAGCGACGTTAGGAGCCACGAGAACAGCATTTGATCTTGTTGCTCCCGGGCAACATAAGCTTCGTTCATCGTTCCTGCTGCTTCATCTTCAACGGAGATAAATTGCTTTGGAATTTGTGGTTTGACAATGAATCAAAGAAGTTTGTGTGCTCGAACGACTGATTCTACATGATGTTTCCAGAAGATGAAGTTGTTACTGTCAAGTTTGAGAGGAAGAGGATGTGCGAATGTTACTAGAGACGCAGAATTTGTGGAAGTTGCAGTAGCAGAGGAAGAGTTTGATTCGGTATCTGTGATCGCCATTGATGGATCGAGCTAGAGCTCTGATACCACATTAGAAAGAGAGAGAGGCAAGTATTGAAAGCTAACAGATAATCTCAGATTACATTGAACTGTATTAGAATACAAGTATTTATAGAGTTGGTTGTTCAACTAACATAACAAACCAACCGAGGCACTACCAAACAGCATGATGTAAACTTATTCTAATACAAAACTTTTAGTCTACTACAAGATGTATATCTAACAATTCATACCAAATTTCAGCTAAAAATTCGATCGGGAAGGCCTTCAAATGATTTTTTGAAGTTGACTGCGTTTTTCTATGTACAATTTTGCGCAGTTAACTTCCAAAAATTATTTGACGGCCTTCCCAATCGAATTTTGAGCTTAAATGTTTTTGTGGATAAACTAGACTTGATGAAGAACATACCATAAAAATGTCATCAAAAAATTCCACCGGGAATTGCCCCGAACGGCGGTGTTCGGACGACGTTCGAACCAAAACCTGATGGACATGAGAATGACTCATATATATATATATATATATATATATATATATATATATATATATATATATATAGCTGAGGGTTCCGGTGAGAATGGTCTCTTGAGAGAGAAATGAGAATGAAATCAAACCTCTCAATATTTAGATCCAATGGTCTAGCATTTTTCAAAGTAGCATATGTTTAACTAGATTTTCGGATCATTGAGATTGTAATTAAGGCAACCGTTCAACTCAAAATAAATTTAGGGGCATCATGGTAAAACTCATTCAAGTAGTTGGAAGCATGTGACGATAGTCCAACACTAAAATAGGAAAACTTCCTAAGAATTAGGCTAATAATCAACAAGCATTAACTCCCTATGTTTTCTCTTACTTAATTTCCCTTAGTAATACGGAAATATGCTTTCTCTTACTTGATTTTCTTTTTAAATTTCCTATTATTTCACATATAATTTGGATAATTAATTTGATATAAAAATCATTATTCGAATTGTGCACTTTTTCATGTTTGATTGCTTTCTTGAGTAGATAAAATACTTCATCAACCTAATTCTGTGTATTTGCACTAGAACATTGAATACTTGCACTTTTTTCAAAGTATTATATATGCAACATCAAATTAATTAAATCTTTACACATTTTTGAATATTTAAAGACAAATGACATTTTTACTATGTTATTGTGCACTTTAAACTGCACTTCGATATATTTAGTTTGAATTTTGTAGAATATTGACTCACATTTTATACATTTTGTTTTGCACATCCATATATTTCTTAAATAAATATGAACATAAATATACAAAGGTGTAGACTATCAATTATAACATGCATTTAAAATATATATAAAGTGCATTATTATATCACATTTTCTAATGTTCTACATTAACACTTCTTTATAAAAGCAATGCACTTCTACCATGTGCGTTGTAAATATATAAAAGTGCACTATTTGTTTTTCAAAGGATAAAAGTGTTGTATTATATCACACTTTTTCTAAAATTTACATTGACATTTTTTACATAATGGAAAGCATTATTCTTTCAAAAGAATCAAATTTTCAATTATGATAGTGTATCTTGGTATCACTTGTATCTTCAAAAAATATTAAAATATAAAAACTAGTAAAAAGTGCATGTACGAAATATGCTAAGTGCATCAAAAGTTTAACATAAAGTTCATTGTTATTATCTTATTAGAAGTTCATATTAAACACTTAACATGGACGCATCACATAACAATAACGTAAGTGCACTAATTGTGAGTGCAAATCTACAAGTCTAAAAAACTATGTTAACCAACACTTACAGTTATGCAATAATAATATGTAAAAGTGCAAGAGGAAATAAATATGATTGCATTGAAATCAACAACGTAACCAACAATTAAATATTTATGTAATTGTCCAACGCAAAACAAATTAACATAAACACTATAACAACAATGATGCACCATTTTATATGCATCATATCGTAATAAGCACTTCGATCCGTGCAAGTAAAATAATTAGTGAAAAAAGAATTTCAAAAATCATTCTCTATAAAAATGAATAAGTTTTCGAAAACAATAAACATTAGAACCAAGATGGATTCAAAAATAAATAATTAAAAACTGAATTTATTACTCAAGAATATAATCCATAGGAAGGAGATGACTCAAGTGGACAAGGAATAATTTTGTATGGTGAAGCCAAGAGAGAAAAAAAAGAAACATGCTGCGTAGTAGACATAAGAAACTAGTAAATCATTAATTATTGGAGATAGTTTAGGAAGGAGAGAAGCCATAATGATAGGGACGAATTTAAGATGGAAAGAAGATAGAATGACCCATCTAGCCTCCATAAGGAATAGTCACACGTAGAAATTAGGAGATGATCTAATGGTCCTTATTTATTCTTATTTCTCTCCTAAGATTATATTCTCACATGAACCTAAATATATATATATATATATATATATATATATATATATATATATATATATATATATATATATATATATATATATATATATATATATAAAGGGTGCGGTTCCAGTGAGAATGATGTTTAACGTGAGAACGCGAGAACACTCAAATTTAAATCAACGTGGTGCACAATGGAGCTATTCTGTTGCACATCTTCAATTTGCTCAAATTAAGCCTATTTAAATAAACATGATGACATTTTGGTAAATATTGTGAAAATGTGCAATATACAAGCTTCGTTGTGCAGCACGTTGGGATAAATGTGATGTTCTCACGTTCTCACGTTAAACATTGTTCTCATTTGATCTTTATTCTATATATACATACATATATATATATATGTAGATATTTATATATACAGATATATGTATATAGATGTATATATATGTATATGTATATATGTGTGTGTGTATGTATATAAACACATATATCTATATATACATATATATATATATATGTATATATATGTGTATACATATATATGTACACATATATGTATACATATATATATCTATATATATATGTATATATATGTATACATATATATATATATATGTATATATATATGTATATATATATACATATATATGTACATATACATATATACATATATACATATACATATACATATATATATAGATATACATATATACATATACATATATATATAGATATACATATACATATATATATATATATATATATATATATATATATATATATATATATATATGTATACATACATATATATATATATACGGCTGGTAAGAAAAAGTTGACTAATAAGGCTGACAAGCTCAAATTCAGGGCTACTAAAATTGTTTCGATTTTTAAAATTGAATATGTTTTATGTACTCATTACAGATTTACCGATGAAGTAAACTGACAAAATACTTTGTCTTGTTCTTTTCGAATTAAAAAAGTTGATTGATAAGGATGACGTCCAATTTAAATACTCAATACTCCATCCTGCTAATATTGTCCCATTTTACCTTTTCGGAAAATCCACTAAAATTGTGTCATACCAAAGTTAGTTAAGTTTGTGTACGTGGTTATAAATCATTTTTTGTTCTAAATCATTCTTATTTTTTCAATTAATATCAACCACGTAAACTCACTTTTTTAATAATCGTGTCACTCTCTTCCGTTTCATTATTAGTGGGTAGGAGGTAGTATAAATGAAGTGCAATTTTGTTCACCCTCTCTAAGGAGGGTGAACATCACCCCCTTCTTTCATTTGTTGCCATGTGACTGAGAAGATCATATAATTGGAAAAACGTTATGTCGCTGTCAAATTTATATGTCACTGCTAGATTTTCATGTTACTCTCATATGTTATTATCAGATTTTTATATCACTTTTGAATGTCACTGTCGATTCTTATGTCATTGTCAAATGTCACTACCGGTTATTATGTCACTTTCGAATGTCACTGAGTATAATGTGTCACTATGCCGCCGTAAAATTTTCCGGTGTTTTTTTTTCCGGTGAAAATGCGATACAACCTGTACCATTGTTTCCGCTCCAGAAACCGCTACCACCACGACAGTCACCCTTTATAACCCCTATCATGTCCAGCTAATGGTGATATCAAAAAACACCACTACATCCCCAACACCTACTGCCGTCGTCGCAACAACTCTGATCGCCGCTGTGACATTCTAGCTGCCACCATCTGGCCCACCTGGCTTACCGTCGCCATCGATAGCTCGTAGCCTAACCTCCTCAGCCCCCAAAACGCCATTCCCATCCCCCAAACCGCCCTTCCCAACCCCTAGCCCCCTCCCCAGTCCCTGCCTACCTTCCCTTGTCCCAAATCTTGTCCCAAGTTGTTGCAATACCCCTAACCTAGCCGGTTCCATCTGGATCTGGATCACTCGCCGGTGATACTCCTCGCCGCCGATGCGCTGCATGACATCTCCTAGAAACCCTAGATATCATAGATTTGAATGTTGGCGATGACGACAGAAACGATCTGTCTACTCCGTCGCGTGAAGACCAGCTACTATATACTGTGTGTATTATTGGAATCTATTAATGGATAATATAAAGATTCTATATAAGATAATCGGGGCCGGTCCTGTCTATTTTCGGGCCTATGGGCGAGATAATATTTTGGACTTATATTCAAGATAAACAATAAACTATACTTATTTAAAATAATAATTATAATAAAATTATCTAATAAAGGTCATAAAATAAAAATGAATCTCATTTTATTGTTATCATTTAAAATACATATTTGGTGAAAAGTAACAACGCAATTATCACATAAAAGAAAAACATTACTTAAAAATCTTTGAACATGCATTGTGCAGCAAAATCATCAATAATTACTTCATAATCAACATTTTTCAATATCTCATGCTCAATACTTAAAATTGCTAACACATTAAGTCTTTCGTGAGACAAAGTTGATGGCATATAATTTATCAAAATCTTCAACTTTGAAAAACATTACTTAAAAACCTTTATCACAGAATTTTCCATTTTATCAAAAACAAATTTTTCCATTGACCCTTTCTGACTTAAGTTTGCCATTTCTAATCTTCTCCTCTTTCTCTTTTTATCCCAACCCGATTCAGCTATTTTATCAAGAATAGTTTATTGGTCACTATTGGAT